GTTATGCACAAACAGTGAATCATGGAACACTTCATCTAAAACTAATGATGTAATGTATGGGGATTAACATAAGAATAAAAAAAAAAAAGAAAAAATCTGATGATCATGTGAAAAAAAAAAAGAAGTACCTTTTGGTAAAATCAAAGCCACTGGAGTTGTAGATGCATGAGAAGAATTTGAGTAAGATTATTCCATAAAGTATAGAAGTAGGAAAAAAGCAGACTGTTCCTCAGAAACAGTTAACTGATTTTCAGTGTGTGTGATGAATGGATGAGTATTAGTAGATATTTCAGTATTTCATCTCTGCTCCAAAAAGTTTGGATATTCAGGTTGGCCAGAAAACTCCTGGGATCTTCTCTTTGGGAAAGATTACTTTTAGGTTACCTGAGGTGTTCAGTTGACTTAGACCGGGGTCTAGATGGCCATTCTGTCTTCCAGTCAGTCCGTCATTCTCAAGCACCCTGGGTGTGACCTAGCCCCAGGCTTAGGGCTGCAGGGAGGGAAGATGCAGAAGGGGAAGAGAATCAGACACACTGTGTGTCCGCTGGGTGCCCGTGACCCTGCCCGGGTTTCTCTCTCACGTGGGTGACTGGGGAGTGCCCTCCCCCTGAGATGCACACAGCCGATCTGGCGCCTCAGGCAGGGAGAGGGCAGAATGATGGGGTTCTGCAGCTTGGCCTGACCCTCTGACCCTCGGATCCCCCGCAGGTCTCTGAGCTGGTCTTTGTGTCCATCTATAGCTCCGAGTTCTGCATGAAGCTCTACGTGGACCCCATCAACTATTGGAAGGATGGCTACAACCTGCTGGATATAATCATTATCATCACTATCTTCATCCCCTACAGTCTCCGCAGATTCAAGGGCAAGCACTACCCCTACCTCAACATTGCTGATGGCATGCAGTCCCTGCGTATCCTCAAGCTTATCACCTATAGCCGTGGCATCCGGGTGAGTGGCCTGGGGGTGCCGTGCTCTGGGAGTGCAGGGGCCTGTGTGCCCACCAGCCCCTGAGGAAATCATCATTCTACCACCACCATCCAGTTATTGAATCCTACTGTATGGCAGGTTGATCTTTACCAATGTTACCTCATTTCATCTTAAAACAATTGAGGAAGGGTATCATTGGCTCTATTTTACAGATGAAGAAACTGAGACCCATGGTCACTCAGCAGTTAGATGCCACCCTGAGATCTGAAAGGTGTGGCTGACTCCAGGGGCCATGCAAACGTTTCCTCTCTCCCATACTACCAAAGGGACTGACTTTCTTATGGTACTACAGTCCCAGGAGTCTCTAGCTCCTTGGTGGTGCTGGCCTCTCAATTTCAATTATATGCTTTCCCCGTACAGCTAAAAATCTGCTGCTTCTCTTGATGGGACTGGTCTCGTTACTTTGTTCAGGCAGCTCTAGGAATGGTGCTCTTGCTGAGAATTCATGGGGTGACCGGTCTTTCTTTGGCTCAGGAGTTTCAGAAAACTCCTCATAGCAGACCCAACCTGCCCTGAAGCATCCGTCGTGGGCACAGTATGTTTGCTCTGGCTCTGTGCCCCATGTCCACGCTTCTCCAGGAAGGGGCTGCCTTGGACCCATTTGACCAGCTCAGGTGTGTGTCAGCCTGTTTTGCTGAGAGATTGCCCCTAGCCCAGCCTGGACGTCTGTCTGGGACCTCGGCCCTACACTTAGCAGCCCCAGGCCTGGGGGACAAGATGAGGACAATGTTGAAGAGCTCCCCATGCCACAGACCCCTGTTCATTCATTGCATGCTCTCATGCCTGTGGGTCCCCTCCCAGACAGCGGAGGCCAGGCCTCCTGTCCTTCCCTTAGTGGTGCGGCTCCTGGAAAGAGGTGGCCATAACTCCTACTCCCCACTTCCTTACTTGTCATTTGTGCCCTGGCTTCTTCCCTCCAAAGGAACTAGCCTCTCTGAGGTAGTCAACAACCTCCTTGTCACCAAGTCCATCGGCCAATTCCATTGGCACCCCGTCACTGCCTTCTCTTAGGGTTCCTCCAGCCTTTTGAGCTCGATGTCTTGGGTGCGTGCTGTTTTCTCAAGACTATACCCCAAGTTCTCTTCACCCGCCCCACCCTGCAGATCCTCTTTGGGTGATCTTTTCCACATTTCAGGGGTCTTCACCTTGCCCACGCTTCTCTCTGACTCCAGACGCACGGCCTCCTGGACGTCTCATGTGCTCCTCAAACCCATCCCGTCTGAGCTGGAAGTCATCACTCTCCCCCACCCTCGCCTCCCAGACCCCGGCCCCTCCTCCTGTATTGTGTCTTTTTGTGAAGGCTGCACCCCACCCCCATTCAACAGCCAGGTCATAAATTTGAGCGTCAGCATTGACGCCTCTGTCTTAAAGTCCTGGTGTGTGGCCTCCTATGTAGTTAGTGACCCATCCTCATCTTTTCTCCATCAGCACTCACCTTCATCAGGATTCCCGCACTGGCTTCCCACACTCCTGAGAGGGCCCTGGGGCAGGAATGCCCCTGCAGCTGGGGAGAATCTTTAAAGGGGTACATCAACTCGTGGCAGCCTTCCTTTTAAACCTGAGAGTGGCTCCCCTTGTTTGTGGCTAGAGATAGACCCTATAATGTGTTCTAGAAGCGGGGGAAGGGAGTGTCAGAGGTGCCAGACATTGGAGTCCATGGCAGGTAGGGATGGTGGTAAGGCGGGTGGACAGGAAAGAGGACTGAAGGTCCTTGGGAAGTGGATGCTGGGTGATGAGGACCTCAGACTGAGACAACAGACAGTTGGAAGTATAGGCTGCTTTTTGCAGGTGTTGGGCACCAAAGGAGCAGGAGCTGAAAGCAGTGCAAGGGTCACTGGGGATGAGGGAGTCAAGGGACAAAGAGGCCTGGGGGATGGTTGATATTCCATAGGGGTGCTGAAGGCCCCGAGGACGATAGCAGCATGGCATGGAGCCTGGAGGCAGAGATCCCAAGACACGAGGGGGTGTGGTTAGCTAGAAGGCTGGCTCTTTCTGGAAGGAGGGGCTTTGTCCATGGAGGTAGCGTTTCTGAGGGTGAGGCAGGGGTGGCCTCCTGAATCAGGCCAGTGGGGACTAGGCAGCCTCCCTTGAGCTGGCTACTGAGGAGTGATGTCCTGCCGAGGAGCGGGTTTTCAGGTGAGGCCAGGAAAGAGGTCACCATGGAACGAAGGTGGCAGAGACCTCCAGGAGGCATGTGAGGAAGGAGGATGATGGCTGTGGGCTGAGGGAAAGGAAGCCCAGGGCTTCATGGGGAGGAGGGAGCCATATGGGACTGGGGTCTGGGGGAGGGCCAGTGACTGAGCCTGGCACCTTGTCAAGCTGAGGGCACGAGCTGTCTGCCGAGTACATCGTCTTGGCTCTGTCGTGGCAGCCTGGTCTGAAAGAGCCTGAGGTTTAGGGCCTGGCAGGGACACCCCATCTTTCCAGGGCAGCGATCTAGTGATGAGAAGACAGCCCTCCCTGCTGGCCAAGGTCTGTCCCAGGGCTCAGCCTGGCTTGCTTGGTGACTGCAGACCTTTGTTCAGCCTTTGGTTCTTGTAGACATGAACAGAGACCCATGGACATGCAGACAGAATATTCACACAGACATCCACGGCCCATGTTTGACCTCAGGGGTTTCTGTCATTCAGCAGAGCCTTGCATCCCAAAGTCGTTCCCTGGGGACGACCAGGCAACTTGGCTGTGGCTCACCTATGGCCTTCGGGATATCATAGGACCCCAGATCCCTAGGGGCAGAGAAGTGACTGTAGATTACACAGCCTCTGCACATTGGCCAGGTGGGGCTGGAGGTGCCAGAGGTGGGACCCGTACCTCTGCTAATTTATATTCACTGAAATCATAGCCTCAGAGCCCACAGAGCTGGCACTCTGGCACATTCCTGGCTCCTGTCCCCTGATGAATTAAAATGACACTCTCTGCCCCCACTCAGGGCAATAAACCTGTACGGTGAGGGAATAGTTCCGTGTTGTTTTGCACACAGACAGGGTCTGTGGGCTGGGCAGCCGAGGGCCACACTGCCCCTGTTCCTCTGCATTTCAGCCCAAAGAACAACCTTCCGGTGCGGGACTCCTGCCCCTTGGAGCTCATCACCTTCCCTGCCCTGCCTCTACCTCTTCCCCATAGCCTGAGTGCCCCGGGGCCAGGAGGACAGCTCCAGCTTGACCCAGAGCCTGGGAGAGCTGAACTAGGGGCGATGAATTGCTTCCCCAAAGAAAGAGTCTGGGAATTCAAAATCAGGCACCTCTGGGGGCCAGGTTGTGGCTTTGAAAGCCCCGGATTTCCTCGGGAAGGAGCTACCAGCCTGTGGGGTTTGGGGCAACCATCTGCTGGGATTGGATTTCCATACCTCTGGACTGCAGACTAACGGGGCCCACCTGGACTATGCTCCAAGAACATTGTCAAGGCCAGCCGTCAGGAGTCCCACGTGTCAGGGCTTCTGGAGAGCAGGACTTCTCCTCCGCTGCTCTCCAGGCTGCTTGGCTTTGGCCTCAGGTCGCACTGGGCCTCGGGCTGGCCTAGAAGTGGGACCCCCAGCTTGAGCATGTCCTCCCCCATTCTCCGATGCTCCAGGTTCTCCCGCTCGGGGCTGCCCCTTTCCTGCCCGCCTGGGCAGGCCTCTTCTGCGGACTGCGTCCCAGGGTAGTGTTTCTCACGAGTGCTTGCCTCTTCCCTCTCAGTCGTCTTGGGAAAGAAGTTCTGTCTGTCTTGCAGGGAGGGAGGCGGTTTTGTACATTTCACCTCTTCTGGAATGAATCCCCAAACCCTGATTCTCTTCCCCCAAGGAGAGGGACGCATTCCCCTCTGCCAGGAGCTGTCCAGCCCGTCCACGTCCAGCACCAGGGCTCTCTGCTGGTCTTTCCGCTTCCCAAGTCATCCCATACTGTCAGCGCTTCACTGTCCCAGGGCTCAGCTCTCTCCAGTATTTCTGTTCTAGTGTGAAGCCAATAAACAGTTTCTTGACCTGGAGAAGGGGGCCCTAGTGGGTGAAGTTGGTGGCACAAGGCAAAGGGCTCAGGAGTTGGTCCTAGCTCTGCCGCTCTATTGGCCAAGACTTCTTGCTTTTCTGAGCCTCTGCTTCCTCATCTTGAAACGTGACAGATGATAATGCCCACCTGCTTTAAAATGATATCCGTGGCAGCATCTAGGTAGGTGACCGTGTCTTGAGCACCAAGTGCATGCAAGACTCTGGGGTGTGGAGAATGAACAATGAGGAGCCATACGCTGTGCTCCCCAGGAGTGGTCAACATAGTGGGAGGCCAGACAGATGCCCACTTCCTAGGGGATGACTGAGGTCATGGGATGGAGACCTACCTGTGGAACAGGACCCAGAAAGAATGGGAAGCCACGTTCCCCTCAGCTTTCATCATTCCCATACCTGGGGTAGCTCTGCTACTCCTCCTGGGCTTGGCAGAGCCTGCAGAGCTGGCCCTCAGCTGAGAGGTAAGAGCAGACACCTTGGGATGACCCAGAGGCAGGCCCGGGCTCAAGTGGAGTGGCTAGTGGTGCTGCTGGGGAGACACCCAGGCCTGAGGACCATCTGCCCATGGCTGACTGATGGTGGGGCCAGGCACTGCTCAACCACTATTGCGTTGGTCCAGCCCTCAGTCTGGGCATAGTTCCCATCCATCCATCCATCCATCCAACCCTTTATGGGGCCTGGCACTGGATGCTGGGGCCAGCTGGGGTGTGGGCAGACTGGACCTGTCCGCTGAGCCCCACTCAGCCTGGCAGCCTGGCCTAGCCCCAGTGCTTCTGCCTTGTAGACACTCATCACTGCCGTGGGGCAGACAGCCTACATCGTGGCCTCCGTGCTCTTCCTGCTCTTCGTCCTCATGTTCATCTTCGCTATCTTGGGCTTCTGCCTGTTTGGACTTCCAGACAGGGGTGATCAGAATAACTGGGGGAACCTGGCTGTGGCCTTCTTCACCCTCTTCAGCTTGGCCACGGTACTGTGTTTGGGAACAAGGGTGGGGGCAGGGGCTTTAAGAAGGGAATGCTAGGGGTGCCTGGGGGGCTCAATTGGTTAGGTTGACTGCCTTCGGCTCAGGTCATGATCCCAGGGTCCCGGGATTCGGCCCCATGTCAGGCTCTCTGCTCTGTGGGAAGCCTGCTTCTCCCTCTCCCTCTGCTGCTCCCCCTGCTTGTGCTCTCTCTCTCTGTCAAATAAATAAACAAAATCTTTAAAAAAAAGAAGAAGAAGGGAGTGCCAGTTGGTGTGGTTGTGTGGACAGGCTGGGCCTTACATGGGGTCCTCCTCATGTTCAGGTACTTAGCTGGGCTGGGGATGCTAAAGGCTGGCCTCCCAGGACTAAGCCAGGGCCCTGGCCAGGGTTCCATTCCTCTCTCTGATCTTGTGACTCCTTAGAGCATTCCCATTTGTCCCACAGGGTTGTAAAACTTTCAAAGAGTTCTCAAAAGATAACTCATTTGGATCAAGTTTACTTTAGAAATGAAACCCATGTCACATAGGCTTTCTCGGACTAGGCTGAAGTTGCCTGCAAAGCCCAAGTCCAGAAAGAGAGACTCTGGGGTCTTTCTAAAGGAGAGTCTTGCAGAGGAAGGATGGGAGGGTGGGCTTTTGGAGAAGAGCCCCCAGGGCACCTTGGCCAGTAGTATCTGTACCCCATGGAGCCTTGCGTCCCCAGCCCCCTGCATGGACTGGAGTCATTGGAAGGGGGCGGTGGTGAGGGGCTGCTGTGAAGGCAGAGCCAGCTGCGTCCTCAGGGGGGGCTGGGGCTGCCCCGTGGGGCCTTGGCACCCGGCACACCCTGCCGTGCCCATGCAGGTCGATGGCTGGACAGACCTGCAACAGCAGCTGGACAGTCGCAACTTGGCTCTCAGCCGGACGTTCACCATCATCTTCATCTTGCTTGCCTCCTTCGTCTTCCTCAGTATGTTCGTGGGTGTGATGATCATTCACACCGAGGTGAGGCTGCACTTGTAAGGATGGGGGGGTCGGCTTAGATGTGGCAGGCGGATCCGTAGGCCCAGTCTCCAGGGAGGCGAGGAGGTGGCTCCGTGGGCCCTCCCTTGCCCAGCCCCGCTCTTCTCCCTGGGCCAGGGCATTTCCCTGCCTCGTGATGGCGGTCAGCAAGAAGGGGGGCTTGAGGAGTCCCTGCAGCTGCAGAGGGCAGCTTGAGTTGGGGGCTGGCCCTGTATGGAGGGGGCTCCTCCTGCTGAGGAGCAATGCAAGGCTAGGGAAGAAGGCAGATGGGGGTGGTGGTATGCCGTGAGAGCCTGCAGCTTACCTCCATCTTCCCCCTCTCTAGGACTCCATTAAAAAGTTTGAGCGGGAGCTGTTGGCGGAGCGGCACATGACGCTTATGGAGGAGAAGCAGGTGATTCTAAAGCGGCAGCAGGAAGAGGTCAGCAAGCTGATGCAGATGCAGGTGGGCCATCTCCCGGCAGGTGGGGAAACAGGCCCATGGACAAAGAGGGCCTTGGGGCCAGTGTGGACGGTAGGTGGTGTCAGCCATCTCTGGTCTTAGGTAAGGCAGGTTCTGATGCCCTGGGTTTTCCACAGTTGGGCTTTATTCTCTACATTTTTGTATATGTCTGGACCTCTGAGAGAGTTGAGTACTGTAGTTATAGTTTCTCCCTTCTTCCGGGGCACAACTCCACTGCCAGGCCTTCTGCCTGGAATGCTCTTGTTACTCATGCTCCCTGGTCGCCAGGCAGCCATAGGCCCTGTCCAGTGTGTGGGGTGAGGCCATGGAGGTCCTGACAGGTGCTACTCAACTCCGGTTTTTCTAAAGTGGAACGAGGATGAGCATAGCAGGCTGGAGATCTTCTGTCAAGCATGATACACCTGTGAAAGCCTGGGGGTGAGCCTTCTTTTTTCAGCCTAAGCTCTCCGAGCTCCTCAGGCTGGGTGCTGGGTGCTCTGCTGGGTCCTGAACCCCTGCCCCTCCTCCCCTCTGCAGCCAGTGCATCCCTCCTGAGCCCCTTCTCTGAGCTGGAGTCATCTACCTGTCTTGGCTGTGCCCGAGTTTGTGCAGGGCAGGGTGAGACCACGCCGAGCCACACACACTCAGGCTCTCACTGGTTCCTTTCTGGGTCACCTGTCCTCATGTCAGTGATGGTGGCTCACAAGGCTGCTGTGGTCAGGGGGGCCAAGGCTTGGAGGGAGTTGGGTGAACCTGTGATTCGGTGCAGGACTTACCCTGGGGCTGGGGTCAGGCCTTTGCCTGGGCCTCTCGTGAGGGGTTCCTGTGCCTTCCTCTTCACTGCCCTCTTTATGCTTCCCTCTCTAGAAAAATGCTGACTACAGAAGTTTCAGTGAGCTGGTAGAGAACTTCAAGAAGACCCTGCGGCACACTGACCCCATGGTCCTGGATGATTTTGGCACCAGCCTGCCCTTCATCGATGTCTATTTGTCCACTCTGGACAACCAGGACACTACGATCTACAAGTCAGTACCCACCCCGCTGCCCCTGGCCCTGGAGACCAGGCCTTTCCTGGTCCCTAGGCTTCCTTCAGGGTGGGGCCATGGCAGGTGCCATGGGAAAGCAGGGGGACGGTGGCCTGTCTGCAAGTGGCTGAAGTGAGGCCCCTCCTGGGCGTGCAGGACTCCATGTGTGCACGGGGGCTGCATTGCCGTGTGGACAGGCCTGTTGCTCAGGGACCTCTGCTCCCCTGGCCCTCCTTGGCCTGCTCTCACTGGCCTTGAAGTGCTGGGTTGGACTCTTCAGGCCCCTCCTCACTACTCACTTTTCAGAAGTCAGACGAAAGAGCACTGATTGGCAAGGCAGGAGCTGAGGCTCCTGGCCTCGTTCTGCTACGACCTTCCTTTGTGACTCTGGGGAGGTCCCTGCCCCTTTTCCACCTGTCACCTGAGGGCTGATGCTCCAAAAGCAGTGTGTGGGGCTTTGAGTTGGCCCGGCCCAGGGCTGTGCTCCGTGTGCTTTAGCTGGAGTTATACCTGACCATTACTGAGCAGGAAGGGGAGGGGCATGGGCACTAAGGAGTCACAGGGAGCTCTTGAGTGAGGAGGGACACCAGGAGGCTGGCTTCATGACCGAAACCTGCTGGAGGGCTTCACAGACTGGAGGAACTCAAAGGAGGGGGTCAGGGAACCTCCACATTTCGCCGAAGAGTGGGCCAGGTAGTGTCTGGTCACCTCCACATAGTCACCTCATTTACAGCCCAGGATTTGGTGTCTCCAACCTGACACATGTGTTGAAATACCTTACTCCGGGGAAGACGGGTAGAGCAGCGGCCCCGGATTCCAGCTGACCCGATCTGGCTCTACAGTCCTTGCTCTTCCCTGCACCCACACCTACCAGGCATGGGGAATCCAAGGTGCGGACATGCAGTGGGCAGGGCTCAGGTGGCGTGGAGCCCACGTTGAGCCCAGGCCCCCTCCCCCTGGTTCCACTTCCAGGCTTCAGGAGCTGTACTACGAGATCGCGCACGTGTTGAGCCTGATGCTCGAAGACTTGCCGCAGAAGAAACAGTCCCAGTCCTCTGAAAAGGCTGATGAGAAGTGGGGGGGGCGTGGGCACCCAGGCACCGAGGTGCCTCGCAAGCCGTGACAGGCCCTCGTTCAACACAGGCTTTCTGAATTGCCCTCTCTGCAGTTGCTTAAGCTTGTGGTATTTCCCAGCCATGGGGGGTTGGGCCTGGGAAGAGCCCATGAAGTCCGATTGACTGCCCCCCCCTCAACATGATACAGCCAGACCTGGGGAGTAGGGGGAGGGATGCTCAAGACTTGCCCTTGGCCAGACGCCATGTCCAGGGGCCACACTGGCTCTCTCCTCCCTTGACCCCAGCAGCGAGGACTCCCTGGGCTCCTGGGAAAGCCACCTGAAGACCCCAGACCAAGAAGGGCCTCCAGCAGCCCCATAAGCGTATATGGCTCCTTTGAGCTGGGGTAGCCTCACTGATCTTGGAACCTCTTAAAGCTGGGCTCCTCTTTGTGGGTGCCCCACCCCAGGCAGAGCAACATTTCTCTCTATGCACCTCCTCCCGTGGGGACCCGTCTTTGGAAGCTGACTGCTTTTCTCTAGGCTCACAGTGGTCGTGATGCCCCAAAGGGTGCAGGGGGCACCTCCTAGAGGGGTCAAAGGAGCAGCAGTATTGGGCACTTTGGGCTGTTGGTTAGTTAGGACTTTTCACTTGAAAGGTGGCATTTTCGGTGTCATTCCTGGCCACATGGCTAGCAGAGTTGCGACACTCCCTTGATCCAGCCATGATGGCATCTTCTGAAGACACGGGGCGGGGCGGGCAGGATTGGCTGACACCCCTTTGTCCCTGACTGGCCAGGCCAGAGGCCCTGCGGTGCCCCTCTGCTCCCACTGCTGGGGGCTGTTCTCGAGGCCCATTCCTTTAGCAGGGCCCCATCTGACAGAAGGAGGACGGAGTTCTGGGCAGAGCTTGGGCGGCGGGAGACACCAGCACCTACAGTTGAGGGAAAAAAAGCCCCAGACCCACAATGGGGAGTCGGGTCAGCAGAAAACATGGGGGGTAAAATTGAGAGTGGTTGGACAAAGGGTCCCCTGTGTGGACCCACGGTCTCCGGGCACAGGTGACAACTCTTCCAAGGCCATGGGACAAGGGCACTTGGAAACCTTTCCTCGTGGTTTTGTTCATACATCCAACTACTATTTACTGAGCTGGGCTGGGTGCTGGGGGTGCTGTCATGAAAACCCACAGTCCAGTTCTGGTCCTCTTGGGGCGCTCGGTTATGTAGAGGAACCAGTAATCCAGCCAGACTGGATGAGAGAAATTTCCCTGAGGAAGTGACAGTTGTTTGCACGCAGAGAGCACGTGTCTTCTAAGAGACTCAAATCACTGCCATTTGCAAGTGTTCACACTCACATCATGTAAAAACGCGGAGAAACTTGCTCTGGAGAGTGAGACCCGCCACCATGTTATCGAGGAGCCCTCCGAGGGCAGGGGCGATAGCCTCGTTTCCCGAGGCGCAGAAAACTTCATGCCAGTGCCCTTGCGGGGGCGGGGGTGGTGCTGAAGTATGCAGGTCGTGGGTGCCCTTCGCAGAGCGGGGAGAGGCCCAGGGCTTTATGCCTGTGGTGCCTGGCCGGGAAGGCTGGGGGCTTCCATGGCCGCTCTGAGGGTGGAGCCCCCTCTGTAGGACAGGCCTCGGGCCAGGGCTCTGGTCCGGGCGTGGGGCAAAGCAAACACGGCCGGCTGCTCGCACGGCTGTGGACGCTGTTGGCATTGCTGTGTGCCTACGTTGCTCGGGAGGATATGAAAACACATTCCCCCGCTCTCACCAGGAATCCCAAGAATTGCCTTAGGCCCCTGGAAGTGAACAAAAGATTAAAAAAAAAAAAACTTGGACTCAGAGAGGTAAGTTGGAAAGTGCCACGGTTTTGGAGTGGGGAGGTCTGGATTCCGTAACTGGGTGACCTTGGACAAGGTGCCACATCTTCTGAAAACACAGCTATTTCCTCTGAGAAATGGGCTGATAAAACTGACCCACTCTGAGGACCGAACGAAATACATGTGAGAGCGTGAAGAAAGCTGGAGGCAGCGGTGGCCGGAGCTTCCTTGCCGTCGGCTCTGCCTCTGCTGGGCGACCAGCCACGGCGGGCCATGCTGGTCAGGGGCCGAGAAGGCCTGGGCCAGCCTCAGGGCGGCAGGGAGGACAGTATGGCATCGAGAGCGGGAAGCAGAGGTCAGGAACCGGTGTTGGGGGTGGGCGGTGAAGGGGTCTCCATGGGGAGCTGGCACGGAACGACCTGGAACGCCTGGGTTCCCACAGGGAAGCCCCGGGCACGGGGCTCTGGGCCACGGTGGGGAGGGCCAGCTGCCTTTAAGGGCACAAGCAGTAGGCTGTCACTGAGCAGGGAGCTGGGAGAGGGTGATGTGCAGAGGGCTGGCCCAGCGCTGGGGGCAGAACAAGCCAGCGGGTATTTGGCGCAAAGTCCCAGAGCAGCATTTCTGTTTGGCTCTATTCGTCTGCAGAGCAAACATTGGCAGATTGGAATTCCCACTTGGGCTCTCACCAACTCAAACAGGCTTGGCCACGACTTTCAATTGATTTGCTTGGGGCAGAAGTGCTCAGCCTGCCCAGGCCTGGCTGAGGAAAGCAGGACCCTTCTCACCAGCCCCCAGCCCTTGGGTCCAGCAGAGCTGTCCCCAGATGGCTCTTTCCTCTCCATACTGTCAGCCTGGTGGTTTGGTGGGTTGCAGGGGACCTGGGCTTGAGTCTTTTGGTCACACTCAGGCCCTCCCCTAGCTCCTGTGGGAAGGATCTGGAATCCAAGGCTGGAGGTGTTTGGAAGGTGGCCGGATTTTTTTCTTTTAAACTGCTTGTTGATTCCACCAGCAGGAAGCAGTCCCTCTATTATGGCGATCCAGGCAGTGAAGGAGAATATAAACTCTATTTATTCCAACAGCCCCTAGAAATCCTACACAGAGATGCTGAGAACTGCACACCTTGTGTTTTCGTCAAATGTGGGTGAGACAGAACACCTCCTAATTCAAAGGGCCCTTTACTCAGTCAGACTTCGCTGTCAGTGGTCTCTCTCCCTGTTTTGGTCTCTGTCCCTGGCCCCAGCTTGCCTGGGCCTGCTCTCTTGGTTCACAGGCTCTCAAGAGAGAGGACAGCTCTGAATTCTTAAGTAGGCTGCCCAGAAGGGAGAGGTGATGGCTGCCAATACGAGTCCCAGGGCTTGGGAAATGACGAGATGGGGGCTAAATGTGATGGAGACAGATTTACTACCGTGTGAGTGCCCCGCTCCTCCCCACATTCCGCACCCCCCCACCCCCGGAGCTCTGTCTGTGCTGGTCAGCCCCACGCCTCACCATCCCCGAGTTCTCTCTTTGATTTTACTCTAGACTCTGGGTGACACAGTGCTGGGGGAGTGGGGGAGAGCCAGGATGGGACAGGAGAGAGCGGAAAGAGGAGCATTCGTGCTCTCTTGATCTCCTCCGTGTTGGAGAGTCAGGGTAATGGGCAAAACAGAGAGCAAATGAGGAGACCAGTCAGTTTTGATGGGTCTACATAATCAGGAGCTGGGACAGGGAGGGAAGAAGGAAGTAAAAGCCGAGGGCCAAGAGTCAGAGACTTTTAGACAGAGGTTCTGACCCAGATGGAGTGTGAGGCTTGCAAAGGGGAGAAATGGGGATGACAGGTGTCCTTGGGGGGTGAGAACCGGGTCCTCACTGATGTTCTTTGAGAGAGGCAAGTCATGGTTGGAATCATTTAAAGATGATTTTTGGTTGCTGACTGTGCCTTTTAAAAAAAATGGAACCCCCTGAATGGATTTGACCACGTGGAATCTGGATTATATTCAGGTGGCCTAAGGATCACCCTGTATAATAGAGACCTCTCAGGCTAAAATTGGGAAATGTTAAGAGGGCTTTACAAACGACCACCTGAACCCCCAAATGGGCTCAGAGGCCTGTAGGTGAAGCACCCCTGGGGGTGGTGGCACAACGTGTGGCTGGCCTTTTGCAAAATGAAACCAAAGTCTCAAAAGAAAGTGCAGAAGAAGCCGAAGGGGGATGAAGAGTCTGTCCTAGAACTCTTGGGACACTGGGGACTGACCCCATGCTCTGTACACTGGTGATGGGACAATGATGTTCTCACAGCGGGGCGCCCCCTGCCCCACAGTTCAGCACACGTGGCCCTGGACTCCCTCCTTTCCCGGCGGTGCCTTGACACCTAGAATGGTAGTCTGAGATGAGAAGACCTCTTCACAACTTGCCACTGGACCAGGGGAGGATGTGTCCGAGCAGAGTTCAGGCCCAGGCTCCGAAGGTACAGCCCGTTCTCGTTGTTGACAGTGGAAACACCACCTTCTGTTTTGTCGGCATTTCTGCCTGTGAGATACTTCATATACATGATCTGAATCATGTCATGACACTTAGGTATTTTTCATGATTCCCATTAAACAGGCGGTAAAACTGAGGTTTGGAAAGGTGATGGAGCCCCCAGGTCTGTACAACTAAGGAGGAAGAGCCAGGATTCGCAGCCATGCAGTGTGGCTTTTGCTCTCCCACAAAGCTGTGCACCGATCTTGTAAGGAATCGTTAGCTCCATTTTACAGGTGGGTAAGCAGGCACCCACAGGGACCATCACTTGGCCAGGATCGTCATTAAAGGGCCGAGTCAGGATTTGAATGCAGGCCACACATGTACCCACTGCTCTACAGCCTCCCAGTGACCTTGGTCTTTCTTTTCAGAGCTATTTTTTGAACGTTAGAACTCAAGCCCTGAATGCCTTCCGAGCAGGCCCCGAGTCTGCAGTCTGCTGACCCAGTGGCCACTGGCTTGGCTCTGGGAGCCTCAGAGATGGAGAGCACAGCAAGAAGCAATTGGTGCACACGGATGGGTTGTGACTACAGCGCCTAATCGGGAAATTACAGCCTGGGCAGCAGAGGGTTTGGCTTAGAAGTCACCCTTCCGTGGGTTTCAGTGAAGCCAGCCCGCATGGAGGCTTGGCTGGCAGAAGGGATGTGCTGGGCAGGTGTGAGCTCGGCAGGCAGGATAAGCCAGCCTTGTCAGTGCTGTGCCCATACCCAGAAAGTTGGTCTCTCAGGTGGTGACCTTGAGGTCGGTCCTTTCTGGCTCTCTGCCTGCCTCTGCACCCATAGGTAACTCATCAGCAAGGGTAGAAGCTGTGGGCACCCAAAGGGGGCACTTTGTGAGTCTCTTGGCTTGAGTAGCTGGCTTTTCCCCTGACCCTGGAATGAGCATGCAGAAAAGGAGTGGAAATTGGCAGATGGGAAAAGCCAGTGGTAGAACTGTACGTACATGACGCCCTCTCTCTATTTTTTTTTTTTTTGGAAGAGAAATAAATAAAACCACATATACAAAGTGGCCATAAGATATCTGTTCTCTTCCAGGTGGCAAAGATGATAGACAAAAGCTAGTACGGCCAGTGTATGAAGAATGGGCCCCCTTGTCCATGTCTGGCAGCACCCATAGGCGTGGCCTTCTCTGTGGTCTCCGTGACAGCATGGATGGGATTTTATGTGTGCGTTCCTGGGGCTCGCCAGATCTGTTCTTGCAGTTACCCTGATGTCCCAAATGACCAGTGCACAGAGAGCATGGATAAGGATGTTTGCAGTGGCCTGCTATAAGAGAAACACAACAAAAGAAAACAGGGCGTTACCCCAAGGCCCACTGGTGAGGATGCTGGTTAAATGATTATGAATCTATACATGTGGCCCTTAAAAAAGGTGATTTTTGGATAAGCATAGATATTCTTGATACTATCCTGAGTGAAAAAAGTGGCTTCTCGAGCAACATGTGGCAGGATATCCTTTCTGTAATAGCATGTGTACACATACAATGTATGTGTAAATGCACATGTATGCAGGCGGAGGGATGTCTGGGAAGATATCGTCAATGGTGGTTCAGTGGTCTTGACTTCGGTCCTCACACTTTTCTGAACTTCAAAAATGTTAAGAATGAATACGTACGCTCTAATCAGGGAAAATCACACAATATTCACCTGGAACGTAATGCTAAGCGCGGGGTGGGTGGGTGTGTGCGTGCAACCACACCTGTGGCGTGTGGAAGGGCGTTCCAAGCAGAAGGAACCTCGTGCACAAAAGAGTGAAGGTAGAGGTCTAGGGGGTTGAGCAAGCGCTGGGAGGTTGGGTTGGCCACAGCTTACAGGGTGGGGTGGGCGTTGGGGGGCTGGGGAAGTACACTGGAGCCAGATCCGGAGGACCTTGAGTGTCGGCCCAGCTCAGCCGATGTCCAGGGTTAGGTAAGGGCCCGAGACAAGCACAGCACAGAGGTTATGAGTGTGGGCTCTGGAGTGAGACAGGTTCAACTCTCAGTCCTGCCACTTAGTGCCACACGAGCCTCTCCAAGCCCCCTTTCCTCAGCTGCAGAACGGGAACGGTTGTGAAAAGGTATGTCCAGCGCTTGGCACAGTGCCTGTAACATTGGCTCCAGTCACTCCTGGGTCTCTGCTGCCCACTCCTCCTCCATCCCCCAGGACTCTAAAGCT